TTCACGCTCATGTATACTAATTAACATGCAATTTTACTTAATTTGAAATTAAATATCTCATAAGTGAGAATCATTTTTTTTTTATGATTTTAACCATACTATAATTCAATTATTTTAACAATACATTGTTTTTCATTTTTTAATAAATATTTAATCTATTTAACAACTTAGTTACCACTAATACACATGTATATTTAACTGATTCATTTCACTTGTGTATTTTCATTAGTGTGTGAGTTTCCTATTATAAATTCTTAATTAATTAACAATCACACGCATTTAATTAATATTCATCTTCAATTATGTATTCTTGTATTATTGATTTTAATTATAAGTTAATTAGAATTTAAATTCAAGAATGAATTTCACTATTCACGTTCATGTATGCTAATCAACATTCAATTTTATTTAATTGAAAATTAAATAAATTGATTTGACATTTTTTGTCATGTATATATTCCCTGATATTCTAAATTAATTAACATTCACGCATATTTAAATATAATTTTTACAACAAATTTTATAATTACGTACGATGCACGTTTAATTTTAATAGTATAAACTAAATATTAGTATGATAAAGACTTTCTAACTGCCTATATAATTTTAGTGTCGTTGCCAAATATAACAACTACTTTAAGTAGATACTCTACCGAATAGTAACCTCGGTTGATTAATAAATTATTGTGCAATGATTCATAATAATTTAAAGACATCCGACGGTGACCAAAAAAGGTGAGGAAGAAGGCAAAAAAATTTAAACATTATCAGGCAAACATTCAATTGTGATTAGATTGCAGCTGCAAGTCAATCACATTACTTCTTTTGCAGCAATAATGAGTCATATCAACAGGGACGGAGTTCGGAATTAACATTGGGGGGGAGGGGGGGGGGGGGATTTTTTCAAAAAGTTAACGTAACAATAAGATTAATAATTAATAGAAAAACATAATATAAAAATATCTATTAAAGTTGTGTCCAACAGATTTTATAGATAAAATTCATCTAGAATAAAATTTACATCTAATGTGATAGTAAATTCTCGTTCGTTGTAGAATATCATACAATCACCAAGAAAATCATCACCCATTTTGTTGTGAATTGCCGTCTTTGCATGATTCATTTTCTTCCATTTCATTCCCTATTTTTACTTGTCTTCTTTAACGAGGGTTACATCCTCACATTCTTTATTAAATTCGAAGACAAATGCTCATGAATTAGAGGGATGAATTCTAAAAGGCAAATATTATAAAGAAAAGAAATAAAATTGAGAGAATGAATTGGAAAAATGATAATCATTTAGTTATCAAAATTGTAAAATGAGTGTGTTTTGGGTTAACTATCAAAAATAAAATTTTGAATGAATGGACCGAACATGTTACAATTGGGTTGTTACTGTTGGTGGATTATAAAAATTGTGTTGTTTATTGTTGGTGGACTATAAGTTATTTTCTTCTCAATTTCTTCACAATTTATCAATTATTTATCAATATGGGCTTGGATAGCCTAGTGCTGCCCTCCCCCACATCCATCCCAGGTCATATGCTCAGCTCCTCCTACAACGAGTCGAATCGACAAATGAATCACTCTATTTTATACCCTTACCTAAACCTCAAAAGTCAAACTAATTGCTAAATTTGGACTTTTGGGCAATTTTGCAAGATGATTGGTTCAACTAAACTCTGCTATCTTATTTCTGCTTTAGCTAATTAAGCATTTTTTGCACCTTGATTTCCCCAACCCAATTCAATGATTCAAATCTTAAATCTTGCAAAGTCTCTGCAGGTCAATTATAAAGTTGGTGAAAGATCTTAATCCAGTAACGAATAGATACACGATGACCTACACATTTATCATATATTACATGGCTTTACTTTGTGCTTTTATTGCTACAAAGATCAAATCATATTCTTTAGATTTATTAATTATGTTTGATTGGCCAACAATAAGTGACTCTCTCTCTCTCCCCCCTCCCCTCCAAAAAAGGGCATTTAATTTGTTACGAGGCAAGGAATTTACTATTGAAAAGACTAGTCACTTATATCGTAGTTTTTTGAATTGATCAATCATAATACTATCTTTTCTAGGTACACTTACATGATATGAGTTTGGGAGTAAAATATATTCAATAAGCATGAGCTCAGGGACGGAGCCAAGATTTAACGTTATGGAAGGCAAAAAATTAAAAGTTAAATGTATAAATAAAATTCATATATATATAAATATCGTAATATAACATTACGTATTACGTTTTATTCGACTATATAAAATTTAAGAGCATTAAAAAACAACACACTTCATTATCCCAATAATCCAAAAAATAAAAAATCAACCAGTACAGTCCATTTACTTATCTGAAAAGTCAACAATATTACAAATATTCACCAATCCGACACCAAATCTAAACATCTTAAATCGACTCATACTTCAACATAGAAATAAAATTCAAGGTACTAAATGTCAAGAGAAGTACCTGCTTGCATAGTTCGTCGCGGCATCAAATTCTTTATTGATTAACTTTAGTTTTGTTCTTTATGGTTAGATCCTAAATCGAGACGAAATATGTACTTCCTTGGCTAACTAATTTATCAAATTGTAATCAAAGTAGAAGTCTAAAACTCGGCTATTATTCGTTTCAACTGTGTCAACCTTTGAAAGATTTTAATCAATAGTTATTTGTTTCATCATCATAATATTCTATGTAATTTACGCTAGTACAATTAGACTTGAATTGATCTACTGGAAATAGAACTTTTGACATTTTTTGTTCTCATTTGGAAAAAAAAAAAAAAAAAAGGCACATAAAACGTGATATCACTTTTAAAATAATGCCCCACCTTTTGCTAACAAGAATTGATATCTACTGGAAATAGAACTTTTGACATTTTTTGTTCTCATTTGGAAAAAAAAAAAAAAAAAGGCACATTAAACGTGATATCACCTTTGAAATAATGTCCCACCATTTGCTAACAAGAATTGATACAATGAGTAGGGCACCTAAAAAGGAGTAATGGATGTGAACTTCGACATACTAAACTTGCTAGTTTTGTGATTGTCAGGGCTCGAGACAAAATTCATAAATTATGATCTCCAAAATCAACGTAAATGTAGAATTCAATGGTGTATCATGCAATATATTGTTAACTTAAAATTTAACATTAAAACAACAAATAAATATATTATACCAAAGATATATATTATAAAATAACAAAACCAATAATGTTTTAAATGATTAGTTAAATACTACCCGTCTTGCTATTTTAGAGGCAAAAACATTAATGAAATCTGAATAATTTAGATGCTCAACCATTTCTTTCTCTATTGATAACATAATTAATCCATTCAATCTTTCTTATGATATAGTTGATCGGAGGTAAGTCTTGTTCAACTTCTATTTCGATAAACCTCTTTCCGCAAATGGAATTGTAACTGGTATGGCTAACAAAAATTTGTAAGTAATATAAATATTTGAAAAACAAACATTCAAGATTTTTCAAATATTATAGTACTTCAATTGCTTTTATTGCTTCACTTGATATATAACACCTCAAGACTTAAAATAAAAAGTAACTTTTAGCTTATTTTAACCAAACTCGAAAAGTGTTCCCATCATTTCTACTTACACGGGGAATAAAAATGAGAAGCTTATAATTATATTAATCCCTATATTTATATTGTCGTTGGCCAAAATAAAAATAAAAATCACCCACAATCTTCATATCAACCCCCATTATATATTAACACAGACACACACCATTACACTTCTTTAAAATCACATCCACAGCCCAAAGTAGTAAACTCTAACACGAGTATAATTAACATTTCAAATAAATACACAAATATTCATAAAAAAAGAGATTTGTGGGGTGGGATTTACCTTGGTTTTCGAGGAGATTAAGGTTGTAAGAAGATTTAGAAGTGTTCAAGAAAGAAAGGAACTTGATTTCAGTTGGGGAAAGAAAATTCAAAGCCATGGCCTTTCACCAATATTGACGCTGTCAATATCTGTCTTTTGACAGGCTAAAATTTCAAGAACAAGAGATGGGTATACCCTGCAGGACTGTACTTTTGGTGAACTTTGGATGGAAAAACAGCTAGCAAGGACTCTTTAGATAGAGAAAACAGAGAGGGAGCAGTTGCTCGAAGGAAAAAGGAATGAAAAACATATTTTCCTTTTACTTCATTTAGGCCCCGTTTGGGAGAGATTTTAAGAATTGATTTTTTTATCGTTAGAAGAAAAGTGGGGTCCACCTGTAAGAGAAGAAGTCAAAAATTACGGCTGAAATCGTGAAATAACGATCAAAAAATCAATATTTTGAGGTAAAAAATCCCTCCCAAATAGACTGTTAATATTGAAGGGGAAAAAAAAGAAAAAAATTGAGCCCAAAATGAAGCCCACTCAGGTATTGGGCCTGAGGCGTGGGCCTCATTGGCCTCGCCACAAAACTGACTATGACAAAACATGACAATTTCAACATATACACTAATTGACATCGAGCCCAAGATTCAAAGATAGCACTTTTAGTAAGCAAAACTTTAAGCATCAAAATCTTGAATTGCTGCATCGAGCCCAAATTGATTGAAATATAATTTTGCAAAATTTTTACTCTTTATACAAGGTTGACTATAAATTATCACGTCAATTCCACTATCAATATTGTGTTCTCAACTCATATTTCAAATATGTAAAAGTCTCAAAAATATTCATATAAAGTAGAACTATTTTGACAAAGTTTATAAATAGTTTATAAATTAATCGAGCTCTTTTTTATCCACAAATTATTCAGTAAAATTCATTGTCTATAAAAACTTAGGGCTCACAAAACTTTTGCTTTTTTCTTGTACTTCTTGTAGCACTTTTTATGAAGTTATATTTTTGACCAATTTTATCTAAAAACTCTTTTAATCAAATAAAATATTAAAAAAAGAAATCTAAACAAGAGAAAAATTAGTGGGATAATCTAAAACCAGTTACAAACAACTATTTGGCCAGTAAACCTATTACGCGGGAATCTTTTACGGCCATGCGGACTAGCGATTCATCTAGACCACACGAGTTATTTATACACTCTCGAAACTGTCAACATCATCCATCTTCATAACTTTCTGCAATTTTACATAAAAAAAACCGCATTATATTCTTGGAAATTCTGTGAATTGCGACTGAAAATAAAAGTTCTTTTTGTTGGAATTCTTGGAAAAGAGAGTAGAAATTCAAGGATGCTTGCAGTGTTTGATAAAGCAGTGGCAAAGGGCCCTGAAGCCTTGAAGAATTTAGACACGGATTCTGCTCAATTTTCGGCACCGAAAGATGGGTCTTTCATCAAATATTTCAATTCTGTTCAACCAGATTCTGTGTCATTGAATTTTGGTTCATCTGGTTTCATTGCCTACTCTTCTCACAAGAAGAACCCACTTCTTCCTAGGTGCATTTTCTCTCTCTGAATCTTTATATCTTGTACATTTTTTCTCTTTTTTCAACTCCTAATGGAAATAATGGAAATTTGTAAATCTTGAATATGAAGATGATAAATTCTCTTCTATTGAGTTCTGCCCTGATTTAGCCTTTGTCAAAATTCGTCGAATATAATTTTTTCCCTTTCTTAGTTCTTGAGTTCTTCTTTTATTCTTTCTTTATGTCAAGATTTATATATGATTTTATTATCGATAAAAAACTATGATAAATTGACACGATTCTGTTACTGTGAACAGTGAAATTATGAGTATTTTTTAGATTGATCAATATAAGTAACTGTGGTATGTAGAGAAACCAACCCACGTCGCAATGGTATCAAAATTGAGGGGAAAAAAGAAAAAAGGAATGAAAGAACTTTACCAAAAATGAAAAAGGAAAGAGAATATAATGCTTACCAGTTACCATGAAAAAAGAGGCACGTGTTTTACGAATAATCAGAGTGTAATCCACCTGAGAAAGTACTCTGCCTCTTATCTACGGTCCAAACATATTGATGTGAGGAATACCATCTAAGATGTTGGGTTACATGATCATAGATGTGGACAAGCTTTTGTTTACACTTGATTCTCATAGAACACGTTAGAAGAGATAAATTGCAAAACATTCAGTCTCGATGGATCTTTCAGCGGATGTAAGGTAGATTAGTAGACTTGTGAAAAAGAATTCACGTTAGCAACTTTAACACTGTTGAAGATAATATACAGCTTCTTTGTTTTACTTTCTTTCCTTCTCTTTTTCTGTCTTGGGGGGTGGATGAATTACTTATCTTCTCCTATTCTTGTCTGCACTGTGCCCTGATTTAATAGATATTGTTGGAATTTGTTTTCTTAATGTTACAGCCTTGCAATTAGATTTATTAAAGAATCAAAGACTAATTTCGAATGCATTTTTTCATGATCTAGAGTTGCAAACTTTGTTTGTGTCTAAAAATGCCAGTGATTTCACTGATAGTTTTAATTGTGATTGCAACACTAGGCTTTTCTCTGTCGTGGATGACATTTTCTGCCTGTTCCAAGGGCATATTGAGAACATAGCTCCCCTGAAGCAGCAGTATGGGTTGACAAAGACAGCTAATGAAGTTAGCGTTGTAATAGAGGCTTACCGAACCCTACGGGACAGAGGTCCTTATCCTGCTAACCATGTTGTGCGAGACATCAATGGGAAGTTTGCGTTCATATTGTATGACAACACCTCCAAGTCTGTATTCGCTGCTGTGGTTAGTTTTTTGACTAAATATATCATTTTCTTTTAATAGGAAATATTTGATTGAGACCATAGTTATTAAAGCCACTGTCATATGGGATCTTCAAAATTTGGTATTATCTTGTATAAGCTGAAAGCATGTATACGTCCATGATGAAGCAGGATGCTGATGGGACCGTGCCTTTCTTTTGGGGAATGGATTCTGACAATAGTCTTGTTCTCTCTGATGATGAAGTGGTCGTGAAGAAGGCGTGCGGGAAATCCTTCGCACCGTTTCCAAAAGGTACAATCCATTAAAGAGAAATGTGATTCTAACTTGCTAATTCTCCTTTTTTATTGATGTTCTTCTGCCCTGGGTCTTTATCTTGTTCAAACCATGCAGTTTGTATCTCATCTATGGAAATGTGAAATTTTCTCATATTGAAATCCTATATTCCTTGTCTGTTCTAGGTTGCTTTTTTACATCTTCAGGTGGCTTGAGAAGCTTTGAATTTCCCCAGAAAGAATTGAAGGCGACACCATGGGTTGATAGTCTAGGGGAGGTCTGCGGTTCTATTTTCATGGTTGATGAGCATTCCAGAAAGGAAACTGGAATGCCAAGGGTTGGAAGTGCTTCAAATTGGTCAACTCAATTCTAATAGAACACATTTGTTGAGGTGGAAAGGTTCTATTCTGTGGATTCATGCTATAGTTGCTTATATTTTTCCTATTCTATTATCTTGAAAGTGACATAGTTGATATTCCCCATTCAGTATAATTGTGAGTAGAAAGATGGATGCAAGTTTATGCATATAGCATGCACACGTTGCTTCGCATCAGTTGTACCATTGAACAAACAACAATGCTTTTCGTCAAATTACTATAAATGGTTTTGTCAGTTTTGGCGGTGTTATGAAATTATGACTGATACTTTTGCTCATGTTCGCCAGCCTGTTGTTACGACCCAATCCTCGTGTGACCTTTTACTTTGGTCCTACAAGAAATTTATAAAAAGCAGCAGTAATATTAGCCTTTTAGTCTTTAGATAAGCGTTCTTATAGTATTTCAGCTTATTGCCTGGATTCATTTTCTCTTACTAACTAAATCTCGTTGGGCTTCAGAACATACTTAACGAGCTTTACTAACAGTTTGATGCAAGCAGTAGCAAAAATTTCTCCCACATATCTTAGGAGTTCTTTCATACTTATGTCGTTTTCAGGTCATTGTTTGAACTTTTGACTTTCAGTGATACAGACATTGTCTATAAACTTGCCACTAATAGCCCAGTTATTAGTATTAGGTAAGAGCTCTTTGATGTTTTTGGTAGTTGGGAAACTAAGATTTTTTACTGAAATCAACAGCTCAAGTATCAAATTCAGGTCGTTGAATCTAGTGAAGGAAGTTCACAGCCATACTTTAGATTTCAGGCAAAACTTCAATGTAAAGGACTTCAGAAGCATCTTGCATTTCACCTGCAATAACTATGATATAACTCATTCCTTATTTGCATAAATGATTTGAAAATTCTGCCAGTCAATTTCTGATTTGGGGGCTACCTAAATTTTGATCCTTCTATGGACATAGTCTGTATGCTAGCTCTAATACCATGTTGAATCACGTTATTTTATAATTGAAGTTGTCAAGGGAAAATGCATTTATTTAAATCTAGTTTTTGATATCAAGATTTACAAATAGAATCTAGATTCGATTATGATTATCCTGAAACTTCCTGTTTTGAGTTTTATTGAAAGTATTTACTTTACCTTGAGTAAGCCTGCTGTTTCCCTGGTTGGGCTACATTCAGTTTTCTGATACATGTTGTTCACGAAATTATTTGTTTCGATTCAAAACCCACCGCAAGTGCACGGTGTGTTAACAAGTAGTAAAATGGACTATGAGTCCAAGTATCAATTTCACAAGGATTGAATTAGTTCAAATCAATCTATTATGACCTTAACCGAAACATGAAAGTGAAATTGATGTATTGTGAATTAATTAAAGATAATGCAAACTATGATGCGATTATGAATGAAAGAAATATATTAAATGCAAATGACTTGGACACAATCTACTAGAATTTTATGGAATTAATGAATGTACTGACGCACTAGGATCACAAATCCCCAAGCAATGCCCGTTCAATTTTCAATCTTGCAAATTTGACACACAGTCCCACAAAAGATGAATTAATAATCCTATTTTAATTTAGCAATCTCTCTTGAGCAATGCCAAACCTATCCCAATATGTGATTCGACTATATCTCTATGACGAATACTAACATACCGAAATGCATTATAATTTCAAGAATATCCAATAATTCACACAAGGCATAGATGTATATTTTTATTCCCTATCGGACTCTATGATGATTTTTACTATGTTGATTCTATTTTCCTTCTTTCGAATACATAAAACAGGCCATCACAATCATATAATTACGTGCACAATAATCATATGGAAATAAAAACGTAATAAATCATTCAATTCTGGAACATGCGTTTAAATATGTCAAATATTCAAATCAAAAATCAAACGTAGTATTACAAGGTTCATCGATCTCATAGCAATGAAAAATGTAGCCTAACATGCTAAAAAGAAGAAAATATAAAAATAGTTGAAGAAATGTCATCACCCGAATCAAGTTTCAATCGAATTTTTACTTGGCGAGATGTTTTCCTCTTGTTCTCTCTTCGTTTCTCCTTCAAAATCTCTCAAAAACTTGTAAAAATGGCGTCCCCATCGTTCTGGTCAAGTTTTTGTTTGTATAGGACCTTAAAAATATTGTTTCCATCAGAGTTTCGACGAAAAAAGGAAACTGTGGTTTTGCCCTCTAGACGGTCGCATAGAGTAAAAATTTTGTGGCAATTTACTTTCGGTTTGCCTCTATGCGACTGCATAGAGGGGTCGCATAGTGCTACCAACTATGGAAGATGTTCATTTTGGTCCTTCTACTTGAATCTTTCACTTCTTGGCATCTTTTCTTCATTCTTTCCATTCCATCATCCCAAGATGTCATCAATTGACAATTGACTTAATCAATTTCTCGATTTGTTCATCGGGTCAACTTTTGGATAATTGCACCTTGGTCCCTGAACTTTCACTTTGCGTCATTTTAGTCATTTTTCGCGTCTTTTCTCCTGAATTTCACCACGTACATCGTTGTTCCCTACAATTCACAAATGTAACGAGATTAAGTCACAATTCAATCATTTTACTCGTTATTCAGTCATGTTTGTGACCTAAATAAGTGTGCAAAAAAACACTTATCAAACCCTCCAAATTTGAACTATTGTTTGTCCTCAAACAAGATAATGACTTAATTCTGAACAAACATGACTTAATATCCTGTTGTGGCTCAGGATTGGACTAAGTATTTGACTTTATGAAAATTTATTAGTGCAAACATGACATCAATCTTTACTTGTTAAATGCGAATTGACGTGTGTGTGTGAATTCATGCCAACATATCAGGTTCATGATGAATTTGAGTCCCGATCCCAAGTGGTCAAATGTATCTTTACTCGTTCGAGAGATACACAACCCCCCAAACTTATTCTTTTCACTCAATTATCCCCGAGGATGTGTTTTAAGATTAGAAATTTTCACAGCTGTAGTCCTCACCCTCTCGTAGTTTGGATTAGTCTTACTATCACAAGTTTACATATCAACAAGTGAGTCTCTCCTAAATTTGATTGCTTTGACACTCAAAATTAAACTAGGTTACTTGCCTCGCCTCAGAGGTATAGTCTCTTCAACCAAATATCCAAGGGCTTTTCGTCATTTTATTGTCTCTCTTTTGTTTTTTTTCTCACATTTCTCCAATTTTTGATTGATTATCATTTTCTCATTTGCTTTCTATATAACCCATGTAACGAGCTTTAGACCAGTGATTCCTAAACCAATTGGTTTTAGGGCACCAGATTTTAAATCCTTGCAGGCTTATTCACTCGAGTTATAAATGTTCGATCAGATGACTTTTTATTAACCTCTTTCCCTCTTACTTTCTATATGACCCATGTAAAGAGTTTTGGGCCGGTGACTCCCAGGCCAGTTGGCTTTAGGGCACCAGATTTTGAGATATCTTTACAGGCTTACTTGCTCGAGTCATAAAGGCAGAAAAAAAGTGTTTTATTCTCACATATTAATTTTATGCCCTTTGTTATTTTTTAGACATTTAGTTTCCAAAATCAACCCCCAATTTAAGATTTTCACCTACTCTTCACCCCACTGGTCTAGGCAATCCACACAATAAAGTTCATGTACGGAGCCTCCGCTCATCTCAATGCTTCCCTATAATAGCTCAACTATCACCAAACTATCTTAAGATAGTTTATGGGTTAATTCAATAGAGGGTTATCATTCTTTTTCTCCTTTATGCTCAAAATTTAGTCATTCACCTAATATGTCAAGCATGAATAGCATGCATAGATAATGTCAAGTGTTGCATCAACAAGTATCATTTAGTCTAATTAACATCAGATCCAAAGTTTTACAGTTTAAACTAGTCCAATAATATCATCATAACTAACAAGGTTATCAAGCCCACACAAGCATGCATGAAGAGAATTAAAACAAACTGAATAAAATGCAAATTTTTTTTGGCACTCATTATGCAATAATGGAAAGCAGTGGAAAATAGATAAAGATGAACACAGATAGAGATTTAAAATTATGTCACCCCCCAAACTTAGTTAATACATTGTCCTCAATGTAAGATTAACAAAAGATTAAAGACATAATTTTAAGAACAAAATGAAAAAGAAAAATCAGAATGGGGTAAACAGTACTCCCCTGATCAAAATGGTGGCTGCGATGGAAGGCTGGGTTCGGCATCATCATCTCCAGGAGGGGGAGGAAGGCGGGAGAAGATCTATCTCAACATGGCAGACTGTTGAGTCTGCTCCACCTGCATTGCCTGAACCCTTGTCTCCAAACTCCCTAGACTGTCCCAAGTCTCGTTTACTCGCTACTGTATACCATCCATCCTGCCAACTTACATGCCCAATCGCCCATCAAAGATACTCATCTGTCTTCGTGTCGCAAGGGACTCACTGCTGGTAGTGGAAGCGAAGTTTTGTGTGGTTGCCATATCGGTCTGCACCTATTGGATGGTGGTACTCATTGCTCCAAATGAATGCTGAAGATGCTACATGTCTCGGCTGTGTCTAGTCATAGTGGCAAACATCTGTCTCAATAACTGGGTATCCATGTCAGCCGATGGTGGCGGAGCTTGTGGCATTTTTAAGTCCTCAACTGTTTGCCCTTCTTCAGCCTGTTGCTGTCGACGGCGCTCGTTGTCCAACTTCTGTTGATGTTTAATTCTGGCTCGGTCCTGGGCCTCGAGTGTGAGGCATTTGATATATGGACTTGGTTTCTCCAGTACCTCCCCAGGCTGAACTTGTATGCCTGCAGCTCTACAAACCCCACTTATCAAACTCGGAAAACTCAACAAGGTGTGCCTGTCTCCCCATGCACTTGTAATGTGTATCTGGTTGTAAATGTAAGTGGCCAAGTCAATCTTGTTGCCGCAAACTAAGTGATAGATGAACCCCGCCTTCTGATTTGTGAATGTCGTCCTATGGGAGATGGGCTCGATGTTGTGGCATATGAACAACCATAGGATGGCTATAGAAGGGGTGAGATCAATCTAATACCAATCTGCAGCCAAGCATTTTCACATCCCAATAAAACTTCTGCAACCTCAACCCAGTTGAAATCATGCGGAACTGGGACTACATTAGTCCAGGTGAGCTGATAGTAGTCACGAATTACTTCAGGTGAAAACATGATCCATTTGCCTCGAACTCATGTTTGATGCAGATGATCGGATCCAGGTGTGTCTATTTCAGTATTGAAGTTGGCATAAAACTCCCGCACCAAATTTTCATAGACTGGGTGTGGTCGTTCGATCACTTTC